ATGTTATATATTTAATAAATATTTTCTTTCAATTTTTAATTATTATAAAATATTTTATTAAAATGAAGTAAAAATCACATAAAATCCAAATAATATTCAGTATCGGATTCCTGTTTGAATTCCCCTGGCAAGCATGGTCGAGTAAAAATCTGACCAGCTTCACGAATCCATTTGTTTGCAACCCATTTTGACCCAATAAGCACAGGACATCCAGCATGTCTTGTTCTGTAATCACCTTGGCCATTTTCTTTTAAATTATACCAGAAAGCAGCCGAACCTTTGACTGCAGGGATTCGAACTTTAAGATAAGGAAAAACTGTGTAACCGCCTTTCTCAACATCAGTGAACTAGAAAATAATTACAATGACTTTAAAGACTGAACTCATTTAAAAAGAAGAATTCTTAATACATAAATTAGAGTAGTTGCAACGCGATTCCCTAAACCATCATCATATTGAACTGCTTCTTGAATTTGATGATCCCAATGAGGAACATAATGTCCACCAATTCCATAATTTTGTATTTGCAAGCCTTCAGACGTTGTCATTGAAAGACCAGTCATGTGCTGAAAGTAATGAAAGTTTAAGAAATTGAAGTGATTTAATTACAAAATTTCTCACTTCAATTCTCTGAGAGATTTTTTTAACAATTTCATTTTGGTGATCATAATGCCAGGAAGATTTTGCAATACGAGTTTTTGACGTGCGCCTGTGACCAGAGGCATCGTAAGTCGTTGCACGCGCAAAATTCGATTTTGAATTCTCTATTAAATGAAAAATTTCATTATCTGTTACAACATCAAGAAACAATACAATGTATGGATCTGAATTCGCTTCTTCGAGCTTGAATCGAAAAAGTTTCACGTATGGAGTGTTTGAAACGTAACGACATTTCAGTTCAGCCATTTCTTTTGGACTTTTTGTGTTCTTTCCTCGACATGTTTGACTAAAAATCATTTCCTCTTTCTTATTTGTCCACGTTCTATCTTTAACAAAATCTTCTTTGAATGGATCTTCTTGTTGAATAAGAATTGAGTTTCCATACTTTTCAAGATCTGCCACCATTTTCCTTCTTACGACAGGAAAAATGTCAACAGTTGGATTTCTTTTAATAACTTCATCAATTGTATGAATGGCGAATTCGAAGTCTCCAGTTCTATTGTACACATCGCTCATTCGAAGTAGTAATGCATCGACATTAACTTCTTTAAGAGGATCAAGACCTTTGAGAACTTTATCGTAAGCTAACACTAAATATTCTTCCACGAAGTAATCTTTTCCTTTCAATTTGTAAGCTTCATCACCAATCACAAACAGATCATGAGGTGACAATGCTGGTCTTGTTTTGACGCCATCAATAACGCCATTAGCAAAGTCAACACTTTTTAACTTATAAATGTATTGAAGTCGCAATAAACCTTCAACTGCACCGGAAAGATCATCAGCAGTTGGTTGAAGATCTTTGATATTCTCTAGAAAATCTTTCGATTCTTCAGGATATTTTTTCGTGATGAGTTTTGTGTCTGACGTGGTTCGTTTGATCATTAAAAATGCATTCAATGGATTCGTGATGTAGGTCATCACATCTTCTTTATCTCGTTTCCTAACTTCATCAAGCCACGCAATAAATTTTCTTAAAATAATTGTTAAATAAGCTAATTTAATATGCGTATGTCAATCATTTAAAATTTCTTAATTTACTCGGTTATGTAACTGTCATTTAATCGATCTCTTATTACTCCCAATTCATGCAAAATGTATTTCTCTGACTCAGCAAGATATTCAAGTTCATCAATCGCAGAAAATATTTCGCAATTAAAATGTTTGAAAAGTATAATCGTAAATAAATTTAATAAAAGTAGAATTTTCATTCTTACAACTTTCAATTCATTCAGTCAACTGACACACTTAGACGAAATAAAAGAGAAAAAATTTCCCCAATTGTGTCAATAATTGAAAATTTACTTGAGTGTCGATTAATGTTTTAAATTAATTCAGTTATCGTTAAGTTTCTTCATTTCTTTTAAGATAAAGATGGAAATTATAAAAGTTACTTGAAACATCAACTTTCTTGCTTCAACCTTTTTTTCTTCTTATAAATTCCAACTTAAGCTCATCATCATTATCTAAGTGAACATTAAAACCGGGGGAGTCGAGCAAAGACAAGCAAAAAAAAAAGAGAACGAGGCAGGAAAAAGGCAGAAAATAAAATAATGACTAAAAGGGTTGCCTCGCTATTTGAATACTTCATAACAATAACTTTTTCCATACTCGAGTTGAAAAATCCCTGCTTATACACGCTCTCAACCGATATCATAATGTTTTAAAGTGAACCCACTTGTCTCAGAGATTGAGCTACATCAACATCATTATTTCCATCTTCCATGCTTTTGTCTGACAAGAATAACAAAGGATCGCCTTGTTAAGAAGGATAACGTATTTGTTTTTAATTTAATCCTAATTTAGGTCAATAAAGGTTTTCCCGAGAGCCTTCAAACTTTGTTAAAAGTTTCATCGTCCTGAGACTGTTGTCCTAATGGCTTTAAGTCTTATCATTGATAACAGAAACAAAAAAAAAATATTTTCATAATCTAAAAGCCTTGTTCCGAAGTTAAATGCCTGTCTAGATAGACAAGACATTAAATAAGTGTTTAGATTACTAAAGAAACAAAAAGACTTTCATACGAGTCGAGGGATTCATCTTTAAAGTGATTTCAACCCCTTTAAACCTGTCTTCAATCCTAACATCAACATCTAATTTAATGAAATCGATACAACAACGGTAGCCGAGTGAAACCAAAAGTTGTAACTCAATTTCTCATAATCAATGAAATGGGAATCGAAAAGAAACTTTCTTGCTGATTGATTCAAAAGGGATTTAATTTTTAAAAGGGGAGAAGACCTGATGAGTTTCATCGCACGCTTTTATTTTCTAAAGCTGTCGTTCATTGACCGGATGTTTTGAAAGATGAAAATTTAAGTTTTATTTTGATAAGAAATAAAATTCAATAAAACTCTCACAACATATTTCATTTTGCATTATTCCGATGAAGGGAGAACTAAAGCCAAATCATAATCTTTTTATCTGAGAGGAAAGAAATAAGTTTACGGTTTTGAAATTTAATGAAATTTCGATACAATTTCCTAACAAATATTGATTTTTATTTCTCCTGGCTTCGTCTGCTCTTTGCAGAAAGTCTTCAATCTTGCAAACGGCTGGGCCATTCGATGTTGTTTGTGCAAGGAAAAATTGAATTATTTTCATTATCCTTCCAAAGATACGTGAGCGAAATAAATTTATGTTCTCGTTCTATCGTCAATAGACTGATTTGGATATAATTTTGTTCATCTCGAGAGCTTTTTTTTATTAGATCGTTAAAGCAAATTGGTCGCGTAGATTCTCGAAACATTTTTCTTTCTCTTTATTTATGTTCATAGACTGTCGAATGACTTTTGTGTCATAAATGAAAGTTAGAAGTCTCTGTTGTTGGTTCAACATCCTACATTTGATTTGGTCTATGTCATTTCTTTAAGAATAAAAAATTCACATCACTTACGTTTACATGCCTTTCGGTGTGTTATTGGCTTTGTTGGATCACGAGAGAAACCTTCTCTGCAGTAATGACAGTTTCGTCCTGTTGTTGCATGACGACATCCAATACAAACTCCGCCAGATACGCGACCGGAAAGCTTAAATAGTTCCATGTTGAAGCGACATTGTCTGGCATGGCCATTGCATTCACAAACTGAATAAAGAAAATTAAAGAGAAAGATGAGAATGTTTGACAATAATTTAGATTTCTCTGCTCTTAAAGTGTTTAATCTGTAAATATTCTCATAAGTAAGTAACAGGAAAATGATTGATTTGGTGTCTAAAGTTTTATCGTGGGTGTGTATAAACTCTCACAGAATTAATCTTATCAAAATGGATCAAACCACCTACACACATCACTTAAATCTTTGGAATCAAAATTTTAATTTAAAGTTCTATTTAAGTCGGTGATTATCTCAACACTTGTCAAGAATTTACTTGATTATTAGCCAATAAATCAGAAGATGATAAATTTCAAGTCATTTTCCTCAACTCTGAAGTTCAGAGTTCAACATGAGTAATACGAAGTCGTAAAAATCAACAATCTGGAGAAGAACTGAAATTGTCGAACATCACACAAATCATTCTCATGGGAAATGTCGGAGGTGAAACATAACAAAACACGATGAATTTTCTCATTTGTGAAATGAGTTTTCATCATGTTGTTAGTATAGGAAATGTGTGGAGGGTTTAGGAAAGAAAATTCAGCCATTAATAGTCTGTAATTAACTTTTTACTTCTGTTTTCAGAAATCTGTTTCGAAACGGTTTCTTGATGATCTTTGATTTTCTTCTCTTTTCTTTCCTCGACTCTTTCACATCTCTGGAACAACTAACCAAGTGATAAATTGACATCATAACAGTCACATCAATCTGAAGTTAAGCGAGAATGTATGGGCGCCTTCACATTATCAACACTTCAAATCACGATAAATTTTAAAGACCGACAACTGACAAGAGAAACACAATTCAATCTCTTCCGAGAAACAAGAAGCAAATTGGATTCAATTTCGTTTACTTAGCATACATTGCCTACGCAATTATTCAAATTTATTAAAACGAAGTTTTCATTGTATATTCAGACAACAAATGCAACTGGTTGCGATCGAATTAAATCGATCTGCATACACAAACTTCATTAATGAAAGAGAAATTGAAGAATGAAATGTTATGATACTCATAGGGGGTTTCTTTATTATGTATGTACAAACAAACATTGTCTGAATTAAACTTACTTCAAACATAAAATCAAATTCAAATATTGACAATAAATTTGACGTAGGAAAACAACAATAGACAAATGGAAGACCAAACAATAAGAAAATCAAGCTAATGATACTTTACTGAATTATTTTTGCCATCTCACAACTCTCGAAATTTATTTCATAGCTTGAGAAAAACAACATTCAATGATGAAGAGGCAGAAAATTCATGAAAAAAGGAAAAACATTTCCGAATTATTCAAAATGTGCTGAAAAGTATAAAAACCTTTAGTGAAAAATTTAATCAAAGTTCCAGTGACGAATTTTCAATTAACATTTCACTACAAAAATGTTGATTCCATTAAAATTTGATTTATTTTCATTTACTGAGCGGTCGGTAAAATTTCTGCTTTGTCATATTCAATTTTCATTGGAATTTTCATTGTTTTCTCAAAATCATCACTAAAGAAATAGAAGAAAAAAAATCTCGAGAAATTTCATCGATCTGAACATTTCTTATTAAATTTTCTATTGTGTTCTAAATGCTGACTTTTCTCTTTTATTGTTTATCGACATCTATCATCGGCACTCATGAAGTCATGAATCATAAATAAATCAACGACACGGACGGAAATAAAATTCTGACAAGATTGAGGTCAATTGTGGACTCAACATCATTGTCGACTGCTCTCATTTGATATGTTATCATGACACCTTGACGTGGAGTAAAATTCTTACAGTTCTTCTAGCAACAATCTATCAATCATGAAGGAAATTGATCAATTAAACCAACACAATTGCTTTTTGATAGGTTCAATGATACTTTCCGACATCTGAAATTGAAGATTTTCACCAGAAAAATTACTCGAAAATTTTCCTTACTTTATTCAACCACAAATTTATTTTAAAATACCGATACAAGGGAAAAACTCTTACGAGAAGGGAAAATTAAATTTCGTTATGTAAACTTGTGCTTAAGGGAAATGAAAGCAGAGAAAAAAATTTCCCACAAATATTCTTGCCACGATCACAGATTTAGAAAATTTCTCGATGGTATAAGCGTAATATTTTCATATCGTTCGTGGAAATTTTCTCATCTTAAAATTGAACAGAACATAAATCTGATGCCACAAATAAAAAACGTTTAGTCTGGAGACACACGATTTTGCAAAGGGTCGCAATCAGTAAATTAATTTCATCCCTCCCCTTTTTCTTGCAGCTGATTTTGTCGGTCGCTCGAGCGAAAATGGCTGAGACGAAGAAATCCTGGAATTTCTAAAAGACTTGAACCCTCCAATAAATCTTCTTTCAGAGACTACGAGTTGTAAGCCTTTAGGAAAACAAAACATGGCACATTGAAAATAGAAAATCACATATTTTTATATTCTCTTCAAACAAATAAGAATTTCATTGGCTCAATAAGCGAAGAATAACAAACATTTAATTCAAAGAATGAAGTCGATTTTCAAAGAGCAAAGCTTCTTGTCTCAATGACTTTAAAGAAAGAAAAAAAATGAAAATCAACAAGAAAAGTAAACAAAAAAATTCCGCAAATAATTTCGCTTGTTATTTTTTATTTTAAATCGGCAAACAATCAGCACTCGGTATCACATAACGTTGAATTCGTATTTAGAAGCAATGGAGAAAATTCAGAGGTTAAATGTTAGAAGTGGGGGCGGTAAAAGGCTTCGTTTACACATACAAATCGATTCAAAATATTTCAATAACTCTTTTAGAAATTTTACTTTTATGTATTTTCCCAGAAAACTTTCTTCACTTTTTTTTTGAAGTTTCTGCTTTGAAAAGAACATTTTCTTACGATGGAAAAATCGGTGAAAAACAAAGAATAAAACTAGCAGAAAAACTCGAATCAAATGAGGAAGAACTTAACGAATGGAATAAAGTCGACAGACATATCTGAGTATTTAGTTTGTTCACATGAAATTAAATACCTCAATTTTCCCCTTTTATCTTCAAAAGGCATCAAAGGATGCTTCACATAAAATGGAGACGCCAGAATAAACATTTCTTTTTCCACGTCTTTCTATTTTCTCTACGAATTATCAACAGTTCAATGAATTTCGATGAAGAGTAAAAGAGAGAAAAAAATTCATCTCTGTATGTGATTTTAAATTAATTAAAAAAATAAATCGATTACGAATCGTAAAAAGTCTTCAAAAAAATTACCATCAGTTGGCTTCAGCATTAACTGTAAATATTTTGATTGCAAATTAATGAGGGAAGGCAAAAGGAACTTCATGAAGCGGATGGTGAAAGATTTAAGTAAGAAAATTGGAAAATGTAATTAATCGAAGTGAGGAAATGCTTCGCAGAAAGAAGATAAGGGATTTAGGATTTGTCAAAATGTTATTTATCGCTTTGTGCTTCTCTATTTCATTCACAATCGTGGCTGTTAAAATTTTTAGTCAGGCTTGCAGTAACCATTTATCTAATGGATTATTAATGTAACATGTTCTGATCCTTTAAAATCTATCTGAATTCGTTTTCACATTAAAATTCTCCCCACTTGCATTACTTAGATTTGATTAAATTCACGACGAGAAAGGCGTGAGTAAGTGAATGTGAAATTGAAGATAAAAACATTCATGGAATGCAAGAAACGCGCTCTCAATCATAAATAACACAACTTTGGTGAAGTTGATCTAATAAAGATTTTCCTTTCCCCCCTTCATGACAAACATGAACCTGAAATTCCATGTCGAATGATGATGATGATCCATGTTTGTATTTCTAATCAAAAGTAATAATAAAACAGAATGCGAAAGGAATTCTCTTCATATGCAAGATTAAATTCCATCGCAATTGAAAATAAATCCAATTTTTCTTTCTTTCCTTTCCCCCTCAATTTCACTTGCATTTCAAGTCACCCTCAACATACATAACTAAGCTTTGGAAACATCTAAACAAATCACCCCCCAAAAGAAAAATATAAAAAATGCGCAATCATCTCTCTCAAATGCAGTAAAAGTATCTTAATGCCACCTAGGAAAAGTTTGGTGAGTAAGATTTTGCTTCTGACGATGTCCTTACGACAATGATGATGGAAATATTATTTGAGGAAAGTGTAATTTTATTCATACATCACCTAACCCCTTACTTGTCATTTTCTCCCCTTTTCCACTCTCGAGTCTTCATTTCCAATCTCTATTACAATGTCCCATTGAGAGACATAATACCAAAGCATCCCAATCGAGCTTCAGTAGTTAGAGTATATATGGATAATGTGTGAGAAAGAAAAATGATTTTGCTGTTCTTTTCCATCGACATTTTGTGGGTAAGAATAGCATTGAAGAGGGATTGAAAACTCTCCATTCACCATTCTGTGATAGCTCAATTGGTTCCAATTATTTTTTATAAACAACACAATTGTGAACACGCATCATTTGCATGCATTATCCTTTCTTCTCTATTCACCATCTCTAGTACCCTTCATCCCCAATAATGAACTTGGTCGACGAGTTTTTATTATTACGACGGAAATTATTGCCTTGTTTACTCACCTTTACATTCATGTGCGTCCCTTGATGTGCCGCGTGCCCACGGTCTATCGAAATAAAATAATTTACACTTTTCACAATCGCGACCAGCTGTGTTGTGTTTACATTCGCACTCTAACTTTCCATCGACTCCACGGATGCAGCGTGACGCGTGTCCATTGCATTTGCATCGACCTCCAACAGAAAAGTCTGAAAGCGCATAATGTTGCATCATTTGTCGATCATTAAATGATGTTATTGTTGTCGATGGCATCATCTCGATTTCATTCTCATCGTACGATTCGTCTTTGTATTTAATCAAAACTGGAGGTTTGGGAGCTTCCGTTAAAGCTTCATTGTTGTTGTTTGAATCTTGTGATGGAAGTTGTGAACGATGAAAAATTACTCGAATGTCTGTAGCTGTTACCCAATCTTGTAGAATAGGAGACGAGTCTAAATCAGCTGCTGATGGTCGCCCCTCTAAAGTATTAAAAGCAATTCGCGATCCCTGAAGCGTTGTTGTGTCTTTATTGTACTGATGAGAATCTGTGCAAAGAACCTCCTGTTCATTATTTTTTGATATTGTCGCACGATTTGGACGGCCATAAAAGCGTCTGCATTGACTACTGAAATACTGAAATGGTTGCCACGTTTTTCCATAGTCATTGCTTTTATAAATGGCCAATGAATCGGGCTTCGTTGAACGTGGGCAGAATACCAAACTCACATAAGTTAGATCGTATTTTTTGCCCAAAGACAATGTCAATGTCACATTATCAGGCGGTGAATTAATAGAAGATGGTGCTGGAGATGGTTCTGAACGCCAACAAGTTAAATTATTTGAGTTATTTATATCTGTTAAATAACTTGCTGGGAAGCTGTATTTAGGGCTTGAATCATCGCATAAATAACATGCTGGAGACTCGCTAAAATTGGCGTCTTCGCAAACACGAACTGGCCCATACCGACCACATGTTGAGGATGCGACGATAGGTTGACCGAACGCGGCATTCACAAAGTCCGGTAGACATCGATGGGGACGACTATCGTCATAGCAAGGATCATAAATTGGAGGAGTGAATGATTTTTTAAATGAATCAGATGAACCTCCACAAACAAGCGACCATCCAATAATATGAACACAAATAATTGATTGAATATTAAGCATTATTTCTAATTATTATTTATTTATCGATTACACAAACACAGCGGAATTTTAATTTGTTGTTAATTTAGCGAATTTCTTTTTTTTGATGATTAATTTTTATTAAATTATTCAATTACATTTCCAGTAAGATTCACAACACGAAATTTTGCTCTTTGATTTTGTTTCACTTTTTATTTTATTACTGTTATAGGTAACTTTGATAAAAGCGAGGGTTCGACAGCACACTGTGACTAACAAATATGAATACTGTTAAAATATCCGGCGTCAAGCTGTCTCGCAATGGGAGAACATCCTCGAATGAAAAAATTATTTACACACAATATTTTGTTCCACAATAAATGTTAAAACTCTCTGGTTAAAAGCACTGTGCCAAGATAAATTACCCAGCAAAGGACGTTCACGTATTTTTGTTTTTATTATCGATGATGGACAGAAACGGAAAAATATCAGCATTAATTTTACGTTTCGTATTTAATGTTTTCTCATCAACATTAATCCAACGGATGGAAATGTTTTTTCAACATAATTGAATATTTTTTTCTTTTTCCTTCTGTTTTTAATCCTCAACACATTCCAACTTTATGCCGTTTGAAAATCACGAACAGTAATTTAACCAGTAATAAAAAAAAGATCCTTTTTCCTGTCCTATGATGAAGAAAAAAAATATCACGACACGTTTCTTAGGAAGCGCTCTCACTCGACGGAAGGAAAAGCAAGACTGAAAGCATAACAAACGATATTGGGACTCTTCCTACCTTTTTAGCATTTCATCGGGGGAGTCAGAACAGGATGTGATTGTGTGAAAGTGGAAAATATACAATTTGGAGCTCTCAATGACTCTCACTTACTCTTTTGTTACACGAGCATAAGAGAGAAAATCTTTCTCAATTTGCGTAAATCGAAACCATCCAGACAACATAAACTGAAGGAAGCATAAATATGTTGCATCTCCGGTTTCTCTTTTTGTCGCATGTCACATGTGACATTGCAAATAAACAACTTTTTGTCGCATGTCGTCAATGAAGCAACAGTTGTGTTTAGTCTTCGTCATCACGTCATGGTGAGATGATTACTTGCACCTGATGCCGAAGTTTTGAGAAAGTCTTGAATATTGATTTATGACCTTTGTGACAGTTCATCGAGTTCATGTTAAAAAAAGCATCAGGATGAGACTGATAAATTGTGCTAATCTTAAAGGAAAAAATATTTTTAAATTTCTTTCCTGGACTTTAAGCATGTTAAGAATTTTGATTTAAAAACTTTTATTGATCTTTTAGTTTAAATTTTAAATATCTTCATATGCTAAGGGTGACTTCGAATGCAAGTGAAATTGAGGGGGAAAGGAAAGAAAGAAAAATTGGATTTATTTTCAATTGCGATGGAATTTAATCTTGCATATGAAGAGAATTCCTTTCGCATTCTGTTTTATTATTACTTTTGATTAGAAATACAAACATGGATCATCATCATCATTCGACATGGAATTTCAGGTTCATGTTTGTCATGAAGGGGGGAAAGGAAAATCTTTATTAGATCAACTTCACCAAAGTTGTGTTATTTATGATTGAGAGCGCGTTTCTTGCATTCCATGAATGTTTTTATCTTCAATTTCACATTCACTTACTCACGCCTTTCTCGTCGTGAATTTAATCAAATCTAAGTAATGCAAGTGGGGAGAATTTTAATGTGAAAACGAATTTAACTAGATCAGAGAGTGTTACATTAATAATCTATTAGATAAATGGTTGCTGCAAGCCTATCTGGAAATATAAATCGAAGTTTTACAACCGCGATACCAACAAGGGTTGACATAATTTATTTCCTCGAAATATCTTCAATAGGCATTGAATATAGAAACTCACGCAACGTTGAATAATTTTAATGACAATAATCCTAACGAAATGAAGTGTTCCATTTGCTTAAAATATGTTCGTTCAAGTATCTTGCGAATCGTTGTGAGTTTTCTTAAAATTAATCCGATACAGATGTTTAATTAATTTATCAGCTTATATATATTAAATTAAATGAGATTATTAAAACTAAAACTTTCAACTCGAAACTTGAAGCGATACTTACCCTTATTGGATTGACTCAGTTTTCAAACGCCATTAACATTTCTCATCCGAGAAATAATTTTCTCTTTTAATGAAATTTGAAACCTTTGCGTAACTTCATTGCCATTTATATTCACATAAACTTATCCCCATTTCTCTTATTTTTAATGGCTTTAACATGCAGTAACTGTTACTGATATAGAATGACAAAAGCCCCTTTCACTTCACAATACACAAAAAGAAAAACATTTTCCAATTAAATTTTCTCATCGAAAACATTTCGTCACACATCGACATGGCTTTTAATGAAATGTAAGGGAATCTCACTTTGTTGAGGGTTGAAAACGATGTTAAAGGGAAGGAATTCTTGAAATATTTCCACTAAATTACGGCATCGCATAACAAACAACACCTTTCGATGTCATTAAATTAAACAGTTTCATTCTCGTTTCTATTGGCATTGAAGAAAGGGGAAAGCTGAATGTCGAGATGACATAAATAACAACATTAATCCGAAATTAATTAAATCACTTAAGTCGCTTGTTTGAGTTTTCTTCCTTTTGCGAGTTGAATGCAAGAAGATTTTTCTTATTTTAGTTTTCTCTCGAACAAGTCTTTATCCTTTCCATGCTGATTAGTTTCGATTGCGTGCATCGATAATTATTTTCCACCCACACAAACCGGATGAACTTGTTATCGCTTCATCAACTATCTAAATTCTCGAGATTAGTTAAGGAAAAACATTCAGGAAATAATACAAGACACGAATTCTACATCAGTCACGTTGTCGTCGCTTCTTATTTGTTCATAACTGTTGGGATCAAAGAATCCGGTTAAATGAAAAGAAAACTCGACTGAAAGTTACTCGTTCATGATATGAATACAAAATTTTCACTTTCGTTTTTATTGTGATGGACGTGGAAAGTAAATTGAATTCACCTTTGCAGACTGACTAGAACTACCTTAGTGAGTATTCAAAACATGAGCCGACGAAAGGGATTCATGAGACTGCTATATGTGGGATGGAAAATCTCGAAAGAAATTAATTGAATGAAAATGTGGAGAATGTTGATGATGGAAAACGTGCTTGATAAACTTTTCTTTTTCCATGATGGACATTTTAGGAAAATTTGCTTGCTGTATGAAAAAATCATTCGCTGATGATGCTGATGATGATGTTGCTGTATTGCGGGGGTGAAAGAAATGAAGCTTTCAAGCAGACGTGACCCATCAAATTTACGTCAAAATTTTGCTGAAAATGCTTTAACAATGTTTTAAAAGATTGTTTTTCTAGGACTATCTTGTAGGCGTAATTTTTATTTCAGAAATATGAAGAACATGAAGACTTATAAAGTTTTCATGCTTGTTAACTTGTACCGAAGGCCGAAGGCATCAACAGAAATCTGAATCTTTCTTACACATTTCCTGGTACCACTTTATGTGTAGAACATTGGCTGGCGTAAGAGCCTTCAGGAATTTTTCTCCAAGTCTCTCCAAAGCTGCCTTAAAATTATGTTTTGAAAGTTAATTAAAGCACTTGATGATTTAGGAATTGTTTACTTAAACATACTTTTGGGGGTGGGAAAATTCTCTTCATAGTTCCGCGGTGTTTGGCTTCACGATAAGCAAGATGCAAATCGTGCCTTTGGTTGTTCGATAAACAATCCCAACACAGATCGCATTCTTCAGGATCACAAGTTTCATTACAAGGTTTATTGACACAGGTTTCAGGCCGTACAGTTATGCTATCTCGATGGCATATCATCTGCTCTTCCAAGTCACCTCTAATTGAAAAAAAGTAAAAGAAAGAAAAACTTTACAAGAAAATTATTCGAAAATTTACCCAAACTCAAAATTTGTTTTGTTCTTAATGTAAGATCCAACACCAAGAAGTGTAAATGAATCGAATAAAAGATTTTCAAACATTCTTCTATCACGTGCAAGTCTCACTGATGGATTCACATTCGGACTTTGATTAACTTCAAGAAGATAAAGATTCAAGTCATTGTCAAGCATAAAATCGAAGCGATAAAGTTCAAAGAACGAGTATTTGAATGGATATTGTTTCACCTGAAAAAGGTTAAAAACTTTGTGTTTACTTCTTAAAGAAAATTCTTCCATCGCTTACCCAATGATTGAAGCTGCTTTCTGAATTCAAAATTATTTCCCGAATACAATCTTCAACTTGCCACCAGATTTTTGAGACGTTGTAACCATTTTTCGTGAAATATGCGTTCATAGCTTCCTTGTACGTGTACGATTGATTATAGTACACTGAAAGCACATCAATATCCCAGGGAAACTGACACACGTCGCCGATTACATAAGTGTCAAGATCTTCGTAGTTGTTTGGATCATATTTCTTCCCACACAATCGAATGAGGGTATTTTTCTCATAAAAATAAACTCTCAATGGTTCAAGTGACGCCACTAAAACATAAATTCCAAAGTCAAACTTATATCCATCAATTAACAGCGGATTTTCGATATAAAGTTGTGCAAAATATTTATAGCCAGATCCGAACATTTTGAAATTAATCTCTGAAGCATTTTTCAATGAAACGCCACGATTACTCCAAAGCTTCTGAACAAATCTCGCATTTGGATGTTCATTGGCGTATTCTTCTAAACTTTCCGAGTTGTTGAAAGCCGGTGCAATGTATTTAGATTTCGTGTTAACTGCCAAATAATCCTTCATGCATAAAACATAATTTCCTGGGATGTGATTAATCTTTTGATGATATTTCAACTTCTTAAAGTCAATGTTAATTTCACTATGATAGTCATAAGTCCAAAGTAAATCCCAATCCATATGCACAGCTCTGTGTCTATTAACATCGACTTCAATCTTCTCCAATCCAAGTTTTTTCAACACATTATCGACGGAAAAGAAAATCCACATGTAACCCTTTGCCATGTAAAACCAATATTTCGGTTTTCGTGGGCCTGCGACGTGGACGACCGCGGCAGTTTCTGTTGCATTGACTGTTGAGTTGGCAACATTCATCGTCTCATTTCTTGGCTTTATTTGTATGGAATACTTTGTAACAAAATCTGCTACAAAAATGCTGATGTAAGCAACAAATGCAGCCAAGAAAATTGTTTTAATTACAGGAGTTAATTGCCTAAACTTTGAAGGTTTCTTTACAGGTCTTTTCACCATGATTACGACGTGAGTGACGACTGTGTACTGATAAACAAGTCAAGTCTAACTAAAGCTATTAAAAGTTATATTAGCCATGAAATTACGTAGCATCGATTCGTGATTAGTGAGTAGAATGTTTCGTGACTTCAATATTAATGCTTTCAATAGTCTCATCAATTTAATATTGAAATTTTCTCCATGCCAACATTCAAAATTGATTAACTTTTCTCTCTTCATGTTATGTTCATAATCAACATTGATCTGAAGAGTTGAGTAAATTTAATAAATTCTGGACATGCTGCAGCAATGTTGGGTCAGTCAACATGTTAGAAAAATAATTTTTTTCATTGACTTGTACATGTAATATAATACCTCTCGTCATTAAACGTGCTTGAGGATGTTATTCGTATTGTCCAACAATTCGAACTCTACATTATGAACACAGCTGTGGAAATTTCATTACTTTTTATTATTATGATCTTTGTTGAATTAACTTTTCTTCTCGTTTGTTCAACATGATGAAAATGTGCGGAAAACTTTTTTTCGGACGACAGAAAGTCAGAAGTTCGAAAAGAAAAAGGGAAACTAAAAGAATGTTGGGGAGAAAGTTTTAAACTTGCGATTTTGGCACATAATTTATGAAAGTTGTAATGTCTTGTGTCGATTACAATCCTATTAGCTGTTGTTGAGCTTTTACTCATAAATATAGCAACAATCAGGATTGTTATCCATCTTTCCATAAATATTTCTTGTTTATCAATGGAAAGAGTAACAACAGATATATTTAGAAAATAATCATTCTGCTTATTGTTGTCATGCAGACATGTTGAGGCAAAGTCACTAACAACGATAACAAATTAATTAAATTCTGACATCATCTCTGATGTGTTTTTCTTAATTAATGTTTCTAAAATTAGACATTGAACATAACATTAATAACTTTTTTGTTCATGTGGAGAAGCTTAAGTAATCATTTTTTATCTCCACAATAAAAGAAACGCTGAAATTTCATTCTTGCTTCTGTTTTGTAATTATATTAACTTCAAACAACGCAAACCACACGCAAAACATAAAAAAGGAATGAGACAATGCAGCTGATTAAATATTCAACAGATGAAATGAGTTTGCGTGTCCATTATTGCACAATAAATTTTCCACAAGCTCAATTCACTTCCAACGCCCCCAACTGTATTTACATTAGTCAGTAATTTTCAACAATTATCACATCACAAAAAAACAATTGAAACAAATTTAAATTCACAACAGATTCACGTTAAATATTCAATCGATTTTCACTTTACGAGTTGACATTTTCCAGTTTTAAATACGAAAGCATAAAACATAATCATTAAACATTAAAATATAAAATTATTAAGAATTATGCAGATTTCGTCTACATCTACACATTAACTAATAAATTACATAAACTTTATTATTGCACATGAATAAATGTTTCTGTGAGAAATAAAATCAATAAAGAAAGGAGAAAAGTCTGCATCAAAATTAATCCCCGAAAATTTAATGTTCCACTATTGGTTTCAATGAAAACATGAAATGTGTGGGACGATAAATCTTTTTACAATTGCCATTAAATTTATTTTATTCTATTCTGTATACATTTTACGATCGTAGTGCAAAAATTGTTTGTTGCACCTGCCTCGTTCTCGTGTCGGAGATTTTACCAAACATTTATTTTTCATTGTAGGGCGAAATTGCTTTTTGCACCGCAAAAAAATCTTTCGGTGACTTAAATTTGACATGATTGAGGGAGATTTGTCTCGTTAATGTCAATGTCTATTAGAATCATTCAATTTAAAAATAATTCCTGTTAATTACTTCTATTCAATCACATCTTTGTGTTTCCTTTTAATGTGTATCAATTGCAGATGCAAGCTCGAGCACAATGAGAAACGAAATTACATTAATATTTTCCATATGTTGCTTCAACTTTATTGTAGAGATTTTCTCAATTTGTCACAGCTCGTTTCATTTTTGCAATTTCAACAGAATGAAAGAAGTTATTCACATTTTCTAGCAATGAGAGTTGAAAATTAATGTTCGCTACTTGCAGTGCTGGAAATGTTTTTATGTTGATTGTGTGCCAATGCTGTTGTACTGTGCAACATAAGGCAGTTTCAAGCCACCCTCTAACGTCGACAAACGTCTTACGAAATCCTGAATTAATTAAATCAATTTATCATAATTATGGACAAACCTCAACATTTTGCTGTCGCACTCTACTGGCCAGTGAAATTCAGAAGGCAAGCAAGCAAACGAATAAGCTTAAATCTTGTGTATGTGATTTACTTTTGGCATTTATTATATTTCTTTTTCCTTTCTTTCCTTTCTCTATGCCGTTTGCGTTTATGAGCTTATAAGAAGGATAAATTGAATGTGTTGGGCGATATTACGAATGAAATTTTTCTCTCCCTCAATGACAATGTCCTTTTGTTACACATTATATTCCAACCGCAACGTTTTTATTGTCAACAGGCGAATGAAAAAGTTTAAGCAGCGAACAAAAAACAATAAAAAAAAATCTCAGGATAATAAATCGTGTGACGTTGTTTGGCTTTTCATTTCCAACAAATCGTAATCCATATGTTTTACTTCACAAAAGATTACAAAAGCTGCCTTCATTTCTACAATTTCTCCATTGAGTTGTTTCACATTTGCTAAACGAGACGTCATGGTGACGCATTACTTTGAGAACTTGAGCGCTTATCAAAGCGATTTCTGTATGTAAATTAACAATCAGAAAAGATTTACTGTGACAAAAATTCGAATTACTTTCGTATCATGTTACACAAATTCATCTCACTCGTTTCTTTTCGATCTGAAAGTAATGTTTTGCTTTATCGTAAATTGCAAATCACTCTCAAGCTTGACGTTGACATTTCTGTTGCATTTAATTGAAATATAATAAATAACTCAATGTCTTAAGAGCTACGACAACAATCTTATCGTGACTTGCAGCTTGTTACTGTCACTGACACAATTCTTATTGATTTACATCGCGTAATTATGTGATTTAATTTCGAGTGAAATGAAAGTGCTGAAAGTGGAATTTGAATGAACAAATTAAAGTTTTACTCAAAGACGACTTCTTTCATTACTCCATTCAAGTCAAGTCATTATGATAAGTCAAGTCGTGATAATAAGTCAAGTCACTAGATTGCAAGTCCTTAAAAAAACTGAAAAACAAAAAAATTGATTAAGCTTAACAATCAACAGACATCAACTGCATGTACACATTTATGTTTCAAAACATAATTTTCTATCGACTTTGAAAGTTGTCGCCTTCAAACTCATTATGCGTCGGAAAATGTTTCAATTTATATGCTAAACAGATAAATCTCATATCACGTTCGTCGTAGGTTTGCTGTCAAAATAATATTATAATTATTTCCTGTGTTGTGTGTAAAGGAAACATCGATAATAAAGTGAAATACGAAAGCCATTGTTAGGTCGTCCGCAAAATTTCCAATAACTCCATTGCACCCCCAACTCTAATTCACTACAATCAGATATCTCATGTTATTCCATATAAAGTCTAAGAAGGCAAACATCCGCATAATGTGTATGAGATGGAATTATTTACTGAACGGAAAGAAGTGAATTCCCTGCGGGCGAATCTTTCCCCCCTTTTATTCTTTTTCGTACATCAACGCTCCACTTCAACAAGACTTTCTTTAGACCGAAGGAATAAAGAAAAATGGTGAAAATGGCAAATATTGTGCCTCTTATTATTTATTTACTTATTTACATTATTCTTCCTTTTCTTTCGCCATCAAGTTGTAGAATAAAAAACGGAAGGAAATGAAACGGCATTTAAAGTATCTTCTCTTGAGAATCCAAGACTCAACAATTGCCTTCGGGCAGTACAACGCAGACTTTCTGTGACAGAATTTTCATAAAATTTACCAATGATGGTAAAGACTCTTATCTCAGCTCGAACAGATGAAGTTTTTTGTTTAGCTCCCTTTTTTCTGTTTGAATATTTGAAGTCTAAGGCAGTGGATTGTTGGTCGGGGTAGGAAAGACGATGAGAATGAAACAAAAGCAGAAAAAATATTGAAATTCTATTCAAATGATTATAAGCTACCGAAAATTTTATATTGAAATGGAACAAGGAAAATCTTTGAGTGTTTATGATACGTGTTTATCGTAGCGAATATTGGATTTTCATCTTTACTCGGTGATTCCACGAGGGTCGTCGTTGTCGTCGTCGTATGACTTTATGATAATTGAAAACAAAAGCGAAACCCTTTTTCACTTGCGTTAGCTAAACAGATTTTCTTGCCAAATCCACTATCAACTTTCACAACCGATCGCTATTTGTATTCATAGAAAATTGTGTCTTATTTACTTTACGACGTAATCACCTCAGGAGAGTCTTAAAAATTTAGTCATAAATTGCGTTAGCATGAACGATCATAAAAATATGTTTTGACAAGCAAATGGATTTAACTTCTAGAAAAATGTTCGCTTGTTGTTATTGTTTCAGCTTTAATTTTATGGTGATAAAAAATGTGAGATAATAGTTGGATGAAATGAAACATTCAACAACATTTTATTTTTCCGTCTTTTGATGGCTTCTCATAAAAAACCAAAAACTCTACCGATAAAATCTAAATTCATTTGTTTCTCGATGCTTTTTCGGGTTGAATCGGTGACATAGTTTGCGTAAAATTTCATTTCATTCCATTTTATTGTTGTTCAGTGTTTATTTTACGAGTTTGTTTGATAAGAATTCATAAATGTTGCAACCTTTCTACCGACTGAATTTAATGTGAATTTTGACTGATATGGAGGGAAAGTTTTATGTGAATTAAACTAATTACCGAATTTCGAGTATTAAAGTCCCTTTAAAAATTATATTAAATCTCAACTGCACCCATCCATTCATTGTTTATTTAATAACAGATCGTAAAAAGGCACAATTAAATCTCAACTTAGTTGATCCCAATTCACCACAGCACAGCCAACGAGATCTTTAATAAAAACAAAAACTTTAAAAAGATTAATCAACGATTCTTCATTAACAGAATTTCTTCTCTTTTTTCTTTTTATTAAAAGCGGATGACTTTAAATAATGAAATATGCAACTTTATCAACCTTTTGTGCTCTTAACAACAGTAATAAAAATTAAAGAGAATATTTATTAAAAATTTAAATTTGTTACTTCAAGATTCGTCCCAGTAGCGATACCGGTCGTAAGATTTTCCCCCCTGAATTTCTGCTTCGATGAAGAATCCAAACGCAAATTAATTTTTAAACAAGGCGAGAAAAGAGAATCCTTTCCAACTTCTTTTCGACCCTTCTTGGTTTCATGCGAAAGAGAGTTGAAGAATTTATAGAAATATTTAATTATGCAATTTGAAAATTTTCCTTCTTTACGCGGTTGAGATTACTCAGCTTTAAAATGATTTCAAATTAACTCAATTGCTTTTGATACCAGTAAGCCAGTGAAAATGTTTTACTTATCAATCTTCCTCATATTTTTTTTCGTCTTTTTAAGTTAAATAACCCCAACGAAAGCACTTCGCCCCATCCCCTCAATGGTTGCTAAGATAAACCCAAGCAATAAAAAATGACTGTTTTCGCTGTTTAAATTGGTGCGAATCTAAAAAAAGATGAACGAGAAACAAACATTATGAATTATTTAGCTTAAAGCGCTTTAAACATTATCAATCACTTCTCATTTGCTTGCATGTTCTTTCCGAAATCGTAGGGTGTTTAAAGAAGTTATACTCAAGAGAAGAAGACTTTGTAAGATAATTTTCTTCATCGCACTTTGTTTCATCAATCATCGAAGGAAGAAATCTTTTCTTCCTCTTTCTTTTCCGCTCGTTACTTAGTGTTTTTTAATTTCTCGCCCTAAGGAATCTGAGATGAAGTTTTTCTTTAATTTTGCATTAAAATGTTCAACAAAAGAGCTGTGACATGAAACAGACACTTTTTCGTTGAATTAAAAATGTTTGAGAAAGTTTTTTGTTCATTTTGTTGCTCGCAAGCAAGATTTTGATGAACAAATGAATAAAAGATATAAAAGTTTAATAAGAACTTCTCTTTCAAATAAATTTCTTTTCTTTTTTGTTAGCGAAATTCATGCAAAATAAAATAAAAGTAGTTGAAATTTGTTGAGCGAACAAACTTCAGACTTTTGAAGAAATAAAATAAAAAATATATGATATCTTCTATAATATGAAAGTGGATTATTTATTAAATTGGAGAATAAAAGTTAACAACTTGTTAGTAAAATTTTTAAAATTTTACTTCGAGGCTGCTCTAAGGAAGGTTCAAGATTTGCTGATTGCATATGCTGCAGGGGCAAAAATATTCATACAAAAATTTAAGGTGTGTTGCATCAAAGTCGTGTGACATTTCATCACGCAACAATGTTACCACACAACATCCCAAGGATTTTCTTTGAACTCGGCGATTATTGTGAGATTATGAATTTAGTTGTAAAGCGAAGAGAAAGTTTTATTTCTTTAGTCGCTACTTCACATTCATCCGAGTAATCTAAGCATCTGAAATGTGGCACAACTAAGGATTTACTCTGATTACTCGTATACATCTTACATATACTTAACTTGAAAGTTTCACATTGCTTCCGGCTATTTTGATGGTGAATAACAAACTTCATCTAAGTAACATTCTCTTCTCTCTGACAGTTTTCCATCGAATTCGATAGGGATTATTAAGCAGAAGCGTTGTTTTGTAAATAGAATATAAGATGAAACTTTAGTGCATGTGTAGACTGAGATACCTAATAAACTTTTGAAAAATAAAAACAATCAATTTTATGCTTCATACAGTTCATAACTAATTTATGTATGTTCATGACATATTCATTTTTCTTTTTAATACAATTTAAAATGAATGGGAAAATATAATGGATGTCAGTTGTAAAATGCGATTAATTACAAAGCATTTTTTACTCATTTATGTCATGAATGTCTCATAAGTACGGATGACACTCCCTGCCTTGTAGGTAGTCGGGATTGCTTACTGTGGGGGATAAGCTGAAAGTAATTTTCATCCAAAAGAGAATAAATTAAATTGCAAACGCTTATAAATTATTGAGTGGAAACAACTTTGAAGGGTTAACAATAAAGAAAAGTCAAATTTATTTTTTTATTAAATTTTTATTGGAATTATTTTATGAAATTTTAGTAAGTTTTTTGACATATCAAAAACAAGGAGATTTTTGAGAAAGAGAGACAAAAGAAAATATTATTCAGTATTAGCGTATCATCAGTACAACTGGAGATTTTGTTTACATCGTTTAACGCAAAGAACAGAAGAAGAAATCTCGATGACTTTTTCAATTACTTAATTACATTTATGATGACAATAATTTCTTCTTTAAAATGAATGACAGCGATCTATAATTTTCTAGTAATCGTCTTTTCTTCAAGAAGAAGCAATCAATCTGAGATATTGAAATGAAATCATTGACAAAGGAAAAAAGTTTTTTAAACTCCACGATTTTCGAGATCTTTGACTTTATAAATTCTCACAAGCCAATGTTCGGTTGTGTAAACTTCTTGTAATGTCTCAAGTTCAAAGTCTTTATTACCAATCTCAGCAGCACGAACTCGATCGTATCCCGTTGGCTTACCAGCTTCTGTGTAAACTTGACCAAAGCGGTAATAACAAAGCTTGTACATGAGGCAATTGAGCAATGTGGGTGAACCTTCTTTATCGATTCTAAAGTCACCATTCGATGAATAATAATCTTGTTCTTTAATATGTTGACCTCGATCAGTTGACCCACCAATTCTCACCATCCACAAGAACTTGTTGATGTCATCAGACGAATATCCAGTGAGACCACCAAATATCACAAGAACGTAATTAACATCAAGTTCTCGCATAATTTCATAAGCTTTCTCTTCAGTCGATGCCATTGCTTGTCCAACCCGAGATATGTGCGTGTTATTCCATGTATTATTATCAACAAGAATTGTACGATTTGCCATTGCTGTTATTTGATATCCGTAATCCCACCATGACATAATTCTTGCATCCTGTTGACATTAAAATTTTATCCCATTAAAAATCTTTCTTCAAAAATTCACATGCAACTATAAATATTGTTTTATCAGAGATCAAAGTGCTTAATTAAATATCATGATCATGAAGCCATCTTCAGCCATGCACATTAATGTTGGTTAATAACCTTGAGAATTCAACTGTAAATTACAGGAACTCAACCCAGATAATTAGCAAACATCAATGGAAAGAAACCAACAAGATTCTCCTTAAGATCGATCAACTATCAATTCTGGTCATCATTTGAAAAATATTAAATGTGAGTGGTCAAGGAATGTCCGTTACGATTTTCGAAAACTTCAAATTTTCGAAAACTATTTTTTGAATTCAAACTTTAGCGTATTTATATTGTGCAAAGAGTTCTTCTTTGGCCACTCATCTTAATGTTAATTAATAAAATAAACTTACTTCCGCTGTATTCATCTTCAACCAATAATAAGCTTCTCGAAAATCATCAAAAATAATTCTCGATCCATCGTGACTTCTTGCACTGAGAACAATACTTGGAGATGAATAAGCTTCTGATGTCACCCAAGTACAGTGGAATGTGTAAGTAATCAACATGAATGTCATTAAAATCACAAATCCTATTGCAATCTCATTCTTCACTCCCTTTTGCTGTAATTCATATTTCTTTGTTTTCCTCGATGGTTCTTGACGATAATTTGAAGGTTTTGCTGAAGAATCGCTGACAAAAGGCACAGCAACTGATGTGTCTACATTTCTGATGTACTTCGTTAGTAAATGTGAGACTGCAACGCCCGACAAAATGCACATAATTGGTGCGAGTACCAACATCAAACGAACCATGACACCAGCAAAGTAAATGCTTGTAACACCGTAAAGAATGATGAAAATGTTTGCATCGGTGAGTTTATCAAAGCAGAAGTAAAGTCCAGCAGGGAATAAGAAGACTAAAATCTGAAGATCAAAGTAGAAGGAACTCCAACTTGTAGGCTGATGTTCTGATACTGACGCAATAATTGGAATGTGATTTTTAGCATATGATGGATCCAACAATGAATAAAATCTTCCAGTCCATGGAGAAATCTTTCCCGATAATGTCAACACAGCAGCAAATGCAACAAAGATCGAAAGAATTGCTGCAACAAGCGATTTGAAGAGAACTTCAAATTGTTCTTTGGTAAGTTTCGATCGAAGAAAGTCGACGAATGCATGAAGTTGGCAAAGTCCAAACACACCAAACGCCAACATATGCTCAGATGATTGAACTGGTTGAAATCCAACGAAGGAAATCTGCATCGAGAGGATCGTTCCAATGCAATAAACTGTGCTGTAAGCGACATACAATCGATGAGAGAATCTTCCGGTCGCCATCAAAGTCAAAACATGAAGTGGAATTAAATTGATGAGGAAAACGTAACCACCCCATGATGACACCATGTAGAAGTAGGCAAGACTTGTTAAAGTCGACCAGAAAATTGTTCCAGTCTTCACTGACTTTATCCACATGTAATAAGTGAGAAGCATCGCAAAGATGGCAATCGCTTCGTTATCGTAACTTCCAGCGACAGATCTTGAAATGTATCCTGGAACAATTGAGATCATTGCTGCAGACACAAGACCAGCACCAGTTGAATAAATCTCTGATCCAAGTAAGTACGTCACAATTGTTGTGAATGATGAGAAGAGCGGCGCGATGAAGACGCAAACATTTCTGATGTCAATAGTGATGTTGAGAAGCCACAAAATTCGATAAATTGTTGCTGATGTGACCATCAGACCAGGATAAATGGTTCCTCCAATGATTCTACCCAGAGGATACCAAGCCATCTCATCAAACCTTAAATTAAATCATTTTTGTTACTTTATTGAAAAAAAAAAATCAATAAAAGAATTCTTACCAATTGTGAAAGTTGTAGAATCCTTTCTCAGTCAAAAACTTAGTCGTTCTATAGTTGAAATAAGGATCAAACTCATGAATGACACTTTCAAATCTCAGTACAGAAAATAATCGAGTTGAAAAGGCTGTAAAAAGATAAAAATTTAACCATTAAAATAATTCGACGCCCATTCAAATGAATGAAACTTACAAAGAATTGCTGCAAGGACAAGAATGCCGAGTTTTACAAGACTTTCTTGCTTTTCTGATGACACACGGAGTGTTGTTGCTGGCTTTACAGTACTCATTTTGAATCTCTTTAATTTCTATTAATCTGTTTACTTTTCCGGTTTTTTTCTTAAAACAAAAGCTTTTTCTATTTAACTAACTTTTCTTTATTCGATGATTATTTCACTTTGAGCTTATTAATGACAAAAGCAATTACGAGTTAAGCATTATTTAAGCTTGAAAATGCTCATAGTTTATGAAATTATTGAATTCACCGAAATAAATCTTTTTGAGACGAGAAAAAAGTGTCGTGTACGTTTGGGAGTATTTAAGTAAAGCGTCACATTTTTTTTTAAGATCTTGATGTCCAAAGTTCACTTTTAGTAATATGAGAACAAATGTGACTCTATTACATTCGAGTAATCTTAAGCGATAATCGAATTGCTTAGGAATAAAGGAGTTTATTTAAACATATTTATTTGATGCTGAATGGTAATACAACTAATCACTTATGAACATTCCCTAAAGAGTACGTTCAGTCAACAATTGGAACAGTGATTGATTAATTTTTTAATCTCACTTAATCACAGTAAACAAACAAACAAAAAAGGTTTTAATGGAAATTCCGGAAGAAACGTGCACACTTAATACAGTAAAATCCGTTGCCTTGAAAAAATCTGTTGAATTGTTATTGCTATCAATTGAAGAAAAAGGAAATCAAAATTCAGGTCACACTGAAAGTTGTAAGTTATTCCCATAAATTATCAAAAACAAGAAAAGTTAATTAAATTTCTTATTTTCAAGTAATCCTTGAAGAACTTTTATCATTGAGTGATTTGCTTGGAGAAGTTGTCGAACGTGCATTAGATTTAGTTGATAACAATACAACAATTAAACTTTTTCGTTCTCAACAAACCGGCAGAGAAATTTTTGAGCTTCATGGTGAAAGAATTTATCATTTCTTCCCTAAACTTCCTTATTGTGTTTGTCGTTCTTTTCACTCTCAAGTGATTCGAGGGGAAGAATATTGTTGTAAGCATTACCTTGCTGCTCGCATTGCCAAAGCCTTGAACAAAGTTGAAATAATTGAGAAGCCTCACATTGAATTTCGTAAGATTATCAACGAAATAAAATTCTAAAATGGGACGACGAAAAGAAAAAGTGAAACAAACTTATGATAAGAAGCTTCTTAGCGTTGAGCAATGTGTTGCTGAAAACATAACATTTGCTGCGTCTCTAAAATCAAAAAGCATCAAACTCTTTGTGTCAATCATCAAAGCTGTGAACTTTGTTGAGAATACTGAAATTCAATTGTCAGAGAATGGACTGAAATATATTGCAGAAGATGCGAAATGTTTCCAATCAACCGCTTACATTAAAAAAGACTTTTTTAAAAATTTTCACTTTCGACCGCCATCAAATCTCGAAGTGATAAGTTTTGGTGTCAATCTGCTGTCTTTTGCTGAACTTTTGACTGCTTTTATTGATAATAATTTAAGTAACATGAACATTGTTTATTATCACGAAAAGAATTGCATTTTATTTAATTGCACTCAAATTGATTCAAATGATGGAAATGAAGATAACGAAGATGGAGAAGAATGTGGTGAAATTATCACGGAATATTTCATACAAACTAAGCACAGTGTTGAACCAGTTGACTTCACTGTTCAAAGTCCTTCCCTGCTTAATTCAATCATTCTCGATGCTTACGAATTTCAAGAGATTTTAAATGATTTCGATCGCACAATTGATGCACTTGAGATTAAAATAAATCAACATAAAATGACACTGAAGACAGTTGGAACTCTTCAATGCACTGCAACTTCAAATTTTCCAGCAAATAGTGAAGTTTTCAACAAATTTGAATGTTACGAGCCATCGAAATTTTGTTACAAGTTCACATACTTTAAAGTTATGTTGAAAGGTCTCGCGGTTTCATCAAAAATTTCATTGACAACACATGTCGATGGAATGGTAAAAGTTCAACTTCTTACTAAAAGTGATGAAGATCAGGACACGGCTGCTTACATCGAATATTTTATGCTGCCAAATTTACCTGATGAAGATTTTGATAATGAAAATGATGAAATCATTTAAAAATGTTTTCAAATAAATTTATTGACTAAAAGTTTGTAATTAGAAATTACTCAAATTCCGTTTCCAAATGTTGACAATAAAATGAAAATTCCTTAAATTGATGAATATAAATAAATTCTTTTTATTTTTTCAAATAATTCAATTAAACATTTTTTTATTTTCTTTTTCACAGTAATCATTCGATCAGAAAGAAACTGAACTAAATATTTTAAATACAATTCAACAGCACGACTTTACTTTAACATTGCGTAAATTTCATAAAACAATTTTAAGCTAAATATCATCAAAATGTTTCTTGTTTCAATCAATAACTTTGAGCTTTGTAAGTATATTTGGATTTAATTAGATATTTCTTTGGCATCTAACACTGGATGGTTGTTTAAATATATTTAAAACGAAAGCGCATTGCTTAGTGATGTGTCACTGACTAAATAAGTTTCCAATCCTATTGGCGTCGTTTCTGGAATTCATTCGATGATTTTTTTATGCACCAAAAATTTTATTTATCCTTTTCGTAAAGTAAATTTCCACCAATTATGCAATTAAGTCAAATATTTTAAGAACATTAACATTAAAAAGGAAGAAAATATTTAAAAGTAGCATTTTAATTGTAACATTTACTTATGTGTTTTCACTCGACAATTGTCATTGTTAAAATTGCTATCAGAATGTTTCATAGTTTTGTTAAAAGTTTCTATCGAAGGCTGTCAGACACTACAGAGAAAACATGGAAAGTTTTCAAGACGAATTTCATTTGTTAAGCCATTAAAATTTAGTTTCACAAATGAATTTTCTGCTGTCACTTTTTCCGGAGATTTTCTTTCATATTTCTAATAAATATTTGTGGAAAAGGAGTGAATATATTTAATTTTTACAACAAAAGATGGAAATTTAAATTTTTCTTTATTTCGATTGAGTTTCAACTTTAACTTTCGTTTCCATCTCTTGCTTAAAAGTCTTGAAAGAGAATTAGGTTTTCATTTTGGCATTCAGCTCATTGTTGAGCATTTATATTGTTCACTAAATGTACTAAGTTACTTTCTGACTTACCAATTCTAATTACACGTAATACTTTTCCGTACAAAGCCTCATCCAAAATCGACTCGGCAATTAAAGTCAATGATCCAAAAAAAAACTTCTTCAAGCTCCTTCAAATGAACACAATATCAATGTCACATTTTTAAGCCTTGAAAATATGTGGAAATTCATTTGATATTTCCCGGACTATTTGTTGATCACCAGCTGATTCAACAGTTTCTTCACAAAATATTCTCGTAAAGATTTTCATCAAATCAAGAGCGCGATGTTGATGTTCCGCATAATCTGTGTTGCGTAGTATTCGACGACATAATTCCAAGTACCATTTGCGAAGCTATAAAATAATTTAATTGATTAATTTGTTGTCTTTAATAAACGTGAAAGTGGGAAAAGTTAAGGAAAATCGTACTAGAATCTTAAGGGGTTGAAATGATGAAGTACTAGAATTTTTCCATGTTGACTTTTCCTACTTTCCACTTAATAAAATGTAATTAAACTTACAATATCACCAGGACCCAAATCTGACAGCTGCCTTACGAGAATATCAATCAGAACTTTAATGTCGTTCGTGTAAAAAAGCGTCGTCGTTTCTGGAATGCTGAAAAGATCAACCAACATCTTCAACACTGAATTGACGGGTGGTTTTGTATGTTTCAAAACAAACACAGGATCCTCTGAAATATTAAAATTGACATAAATAAGAAGATAATTTAAAGAAATAAAAAGAATTTCACCTTCACGGTTGATAAGAAGAAGAATTTTCTCAGTAAATGATTTCGATGCTTTCACCTGTTGCATCGCTTCCAAAATTGTATTATCGTGAAAATTATCGAATTGAAGATTAAATGCCAATAATAAATTAATCATGACATCGGACAAGAATTCTGTTTGATCATCTTCCAAAGGATTTTCAATAAGATTCAACATAAACAAAACAAAATTAATTTGCATATGTTCAAAGTTTGCTGTTGGCATTTTATGGCCAGCACTAAAAATCATAATAAGCATCACTGAAAGTTCACTGAGCTTCTCAAGATTGTCAGGATTTGATAGCATATCTTGTACTAATTCCAATGGTAACACGGAACTAATCAGAATATCAACACATGTCAAGTCGAGCAGACACATCGCTTTAAATGCACGCAATAATAATTTTCGAATGTTCCAACGCGATTCCATCTGATAATAAAGCACCAGATTATTAACTGAATTATAAGCGTCGCATGACATCTCATAACGACAAATTTTCGTATCCGCATCAACTAAAATTCGAATCAATTCAGTCAGATAATTTGTAATGTCAGTTTCGTCTTCATAAAGCATCCAACTTCTTTGTTCTGAATCATTTTTCGCATCAGCAAGTTCAGCAAACAAATTACGTAAACGTTGTGCGTCGTGAGTTTCACCCAAAAGATTGTCAGGAACTGTAAGCGGTGTAGACAAATGAACAGCAATTGGTTCAAGAAATTTACCAGAGTCTGGCAGTAAAGCTTCCATTTCAGATATAACAACGCGTAGCGCTAATTGTGAGAGTTCATGACTCAAGTTCGTACTTTTTCTTATTGACTCGACAATTTGATAAACATCTTGCTCTTCAACAATCACTGCATGATGCTTCGGTGGTTGAATGATTGACGAAGATTGATGAGAATTCTCAACTTTTTCAACTTTCGAAGAATGTTCTGGAGCTGGTGGACCAGCAGCAGCATCATCGTCGTCATCATCTTCGAAATCTTTTGTAATTATTGTTGCGTCATCAGTTGTGCTGGTTATTGTGATTGTTGTTGTTGTCGTTCCACCAGATGAGATTTCCGACACAAGACTCGTATCGGGATTGCTTGGTGATGTCACAGAAAGATCTTCAAGTTTTGATGTCAAAACATTCATGCTTGGACTCTCTTGAATCAACTGAGTCGGTGGTTTTATTTCCGCCACAACTGAACTTGACATTGCCTTTTTATTCATTTCATGTTTGCTGTTTTTGTGTTTTGATTTTCCTTCTTTCGGTTGTGGTTCTTGTTCGATTGGAAAATCATCAGAAGCATGTTTAACTGAACCATTTCCAACTTTTGATTTATGGCGCTTTTCCTTAGGCGTTGGCTCTTCAGGCATATCATCAATTTGTCCCGACATTATCTTCTCCAAATTTGATTTCTTCTCCAACAAATTCGAGATCAATTGTTCTCTGCTTATGATGTTGTTGATTTCTTTCTCATCGGAATGTTTGAGATTTTCAATTGTTGTTTCGAGAAATTCCAGAAGAAAAGCTGGTTCAACCTTGAAAAATAAAAAATAAACAAGATAAGTGTAGAAATTGCGAAACCTTTCAAAAATTTTGTATTTTAATGAGTGATGAGAAAAATATTGATTTTTTGATATTTGGGTGGGTTTAAGAGAAGCTCCTACTTACTTTCAACTTTTCCACGTAATTCGATGGCACAAATCCGATATTGCCTTGTTCATTGACGACTTGCCACCAGTTCCGTTGTCTTGCTGATGTTTGATGAAGAATAAACATTTCGCCTTCATCGAAACTGTATTTAGAAAGTAAATTAATATCACGGGATTGTGCTGATCAAATATCATAATAATTTGCTACCTGATAGTTTTTGGATAAACAGCTTTGAACTCATAAAGCGCTTTAAGCATTTCAAAGGTTTCTTCAGAAAAAGAAGTGAAAATCAATGGAAAATCGATAACAGCTTAGACAAAAAATAAATTTTACCATTTTCAAGCACAAACTTCTCTTCTTTCACTTTAATGTCGCTCATTTTTGGTGACTGTTTACCTTCTGCTCTATTTCAACCATTCACAATCTATTGTTAACGCCCTATTGTTACGATAACTTAATATTTGTACAAATATTTTGACATAAAAAAACGTTAGCTTTGTTACAGAATGAAGTTCAAAATTTAGTTGACTCTTTAATGACCGAATGTCAATAAAATTGAACTTACTTTTGAACAAAACTTTTATTATTCAAGTCGAAGACAGATTTTCATGAATTCGTTTATTTACACTGTTCTTTGAATAATGTAATTGCTATCCCTAAGTGCTTATTGCATCATTTATCTCTTAAACTATAATAAAATTGTGCAATTCTCATAAGTTTAGTGAAAAAATATTGAGTTAAAATTTTCTTCTGAAACATAAAAGTAAAAGAGAAATGTCGCTTAATTTAAAGCAAGTGAAAGGCAATTTCCAGAGATTATTTGACAAAAATCTGACTGATTTGGTACGAGGACTGAGAAACAACAAGGACAATGAGGTGAATGAAGTGAGATTTAACATAACACTAACATAGAATTAAGAATGAATTCATTGATGTTTCACATTAATCCACATCACCACTTTTCTCAAACTTTTTTCTTTCTCTTTTGTTTTCGTCCAGGCGAACTACATAGCCTCTTGTTTGGAAGAAATCAAACAAGAACTCCGCATCGATAACATCAATGTGAAATGCAATGCTGTGGCCAAATTAACTTATGTGAGTCAATGTACTGATAAGCTTCTAACAATGATAAGCAAAATATTGTTTTCCTTTTATAAATAGCTTCAAATGTGTGGATATGACATATCATGGGCCGGATTTAATATCATTGAAGTCATGAGCTCAAACAAATTCACATGTAAACGTGTTGGATATCTTGCCGCAAGTCAAAGCTTCCATCCCGGAACAGATGTAAGAAATAATTTAATTTAATTAAAAGAGTAATAAGAAAGTTAATTAATTTTTATTTTCTCCTCTTTCAGCTTCTAATGTTAACCACAAACATGATAAGAAAAGATCTTAGTTCAACAAATCAGTACGATGCTGGTGTTGCCTTAAGTGGATTAAGTTGTTTTATATCAGCTGATCTTTCGCGTGACTTGGCAAACGATATCATGACATTGATGAGCTCCACTAAGCCCTATCTTCGTATGAAAGCCGTCCTCATGATGTATAAAGTCTTTCTTAATTATCCAGATGCACTTCGACCAGCTTTTCCCAAGTTAAAAGAGAAACTTGAAGATCCTGACCCAGGCGTTCAATCGGCAGCTGTAAACGTCATTTGTGAGCTTGCGAGAAAGAATCCCAAGAATTATCTTTCACTTGCACCAATCTTCTTCAAACTCATGACCACTTCCACCAACAATTGGATGCTTATAAAGATCATCAAGTTGGTAAGTTTAACTTTTGTCCACTAAAATTCTTTTTAATCTTAAAATTCTTATTAAAAAGTTTGCAAGTCTCGCAACTTATGGTGGTCCACCATTGTGCATTAAACTTATAAAGCCACTCATCGAAATGATTACAAGGTTTCACTTTTCTTCAACCAGCTTTCTTTACCATCCAATATTGCTAAATATTTATTTAATTTTGATTATTTTTTTCTGTTTTGTTATGTAGTTTGGTGCTTTAACTCCAATTGAGCCACGATTAGGAAAGAAATTAATTGAACCGCTAACGAATTTAATTCATAGGCAAGTTTTTGTTGTCCTTTTTAATGATTCATTTGCATTAAATTTAAAGTAATTTTAATCTTTTATCAATACAGTACATCAGCAATGAGTCTTCTCTATGAATGCATAAACACAGTGATTGCTGTTTTAATTAGCATCAGCAGTGGAATGCCCAATCACAGTGCATCAATTCAATTATGCGTTCAAAAATTGAGAATATTAATTGAAGATTCTGATCAGAATTTGAAGTATCTTGGACTGTTAGCGATGTCAAAGATTCTTAAGACACATCCGAAGAGTGTTCAAGCACATAAAGATTTAATTCTTGCTTGTCTTGATGACAAAGATGAATCAATTCGTCTTCGAGCTTTGGATTTATTATATGGAATGGTTTCGAAGAAGAATCTCATGGAGATTGTTAATCGATTGTTAGGGCACATGGAGCGAGCTGAAGGAAGTCTTTATCGAGATGAATTATTGTTGAAAGTTATAGAAATTTGTTCGCAAGGATCCTACCAACATGTCACGAATTTTGAATGGTATTTGACGGTACTTGTTGAGTTAATTCAACTTGAAACAGGATCGAAACATGGGAGTGTCATTGCTGAACAACTTCTTGACGTAACAATTCGTGTTGAGAGTGTCAGGAAGTTTGCTGTGAATGAAATGACGACATTAATTGATGGATTTCCTTCTTCATCACAAACAACAACGATGTATGAAGTTCTTTACGCTGCTGCTTGGATCATTGGCGAGTTTGGCGATGAATTAGAAAACACTGAAGCATCATTGAAGATGCTGATGACAGAACGACCGGCCCTTCCAGGACACATCACAGCTGTCTTTGTTCAAAATTCAATTAAACTTTTCATTCGTCTTCTCGAGAAATCATCAGATTCTGGTGACATTGAAGAAATCACGCAAGCAGTTAAAATTATGACCCAGAAACTTCCACATTTCATCAGTTCTGGAGATATTGAAGTGCAAGAACGTGCATCGTCAACTTTAGTTATTGTTGAAGTCATAAAATCTTCTCTCGGCAATGAAATCATCACAAAAGATGTTAAAAGCAATCAAGATTTGTTGAATGACATTGAAGACACGGAAAATGGAAACTTGTCAATGACAACATTACCCAGTGGATTAAACGAACTTATTATGGAACTTAAATCTCTTTTCGAAGGCGACCTTATCCCAGTTGCACCAAAAGCACAACGAAAAGTTCAACTTCCTGATGGTTTGGATCTTGATGAATGGATCAATGGACCGCCAAGTGAAAGTTCATCAAGTGATGAAGAAGATGACAGTAAAGAAGGACTTTTTGTGGCAGCGTCTGAGAAAACAAGTGATAAGGGAAGTCGTAAAGATAGCTTTGAACCAACACCGGAAGAACTCGAGAAGGTATAAAAATCACATTGAAAGAATTTTTCATTAAGAATTTTTTATTAATTAAAATAATTTCATTGACAGATTCGTGAAGCACGAAAAATGTTGCAAGCTCATAATCCAAACTATTTGAAAGTTTCACCTGAAAGTAGTCGAAAGAATGGCGGTGGAAGTGAAGACATGAAAGATGCATACGATAATCTTGATGATATTCCGATAGCTGAGTTGAATCTTGATGTTCCACTGAAAGTCCATTGTAAGTTGAAATATTTTCATAATTTCTTATTGTAAATTTAATTTTGTGTAGCCAAAAAACGTTCTGACAAATATCTCGAGGAAAATCGTAAACAACAAAGAAAGGAAAAGAAAAGCGAAAAGTCCAATTCAACAAAGAAATCGAAAAAGAAGTCGAAGAAGAATAAAACTGAAATTCATTCCGAAAGTGACTCAGATGATCCGAAACCTCTTCACGTAGTAAACACAACGATTGAAATGCCAGAAGGTGCAACAATTTCAGATAATGATGATAAGAATAACTTGGATGAAAATGATCCACATCGTGCACTCGACATTGATCTTGATGTTGATGACAGTTTTTATGCGCCAACAAAGCCTTCAAAATCCAAAATTGTCAACGAAGTTGAACCTGCCAAAGCAAAAGAGAAATCAAATCGTAAGAAAAAGGAACCAGAACCAGTTCTCTTAATGGAACCAGAAGAAGTTCCAAAGAAAATTAAAAAGAAGAAGGAAAGAAGAAAAGAAAGCTTGGAAGTCGATCTTTTGCAATCTGAAGAAGCTGCTTCTCAAGTCAAGGAAAAAAAATCGAAGAAGAAGTCAAAGGACAATGAGAAGCCAAAAAAACATCATAAGAAATCGAAGAAGACAGACTATGAAGAAGCTGTGGGACAGGTGATGTGAGATTTTAAGATTTTATTTGTCGTGATGACATTTTTTCATTACAAAACAGTAAAAGAGAAAATATTCTAGTTAGGGAAATGAAGGAAAGAATGAATGCTTCTTTAAACTTTAACTCATCGCTCGCGATTTCACTGAAATAATTTTAAATTGAGATTTTCGTAACATTTGAGTTTCATCAGTAATAATGAATTTAATTAGTTAGTTAGATGTAAGAAGTACACCACTTCCTTGCTTCCTTCTTTTCTTGAGTCTAATTAAAATTTAATTTAATGTTTATCCTCGTATATGTTAACACGGAACAAAATGAAATGTAAAAGAAAAAATGCTGAAAATTTACTTATCTTGTGATTATATGAAAACTATTTTTGTTTAATATTAAACTATGAAAATACATTAACAATAAATGAGAGCAAGATTGCTCGACAAAAGATCAATTCAATAAAGATGAGACAAATTACCTACATAAATAACGGGTTTATAATAAATTTAAATCTGATCTACTTGGTAGAATTAATTGAATTCGCCCGCCTTCCATTCTAAAACGAATTCGCTTTCCATTCGTTTCTAAATAAAATTTGGAATAATCGCGAATTTATTGTTTCGAAAACAAAATTTGTATTCGAAATCAAAAGTTATCACAAGTGTAATTAAGTACACTATTTAATTGTTACAATTCTGGTAAGTAAGCATGCAATTTGATTCAGTTTCATTCTTTATTTTCATAACCTCATTTCAAAGTTCGTCTTCAAAGTTTTCAAAAAATGTATCAACAAATCTCAAGTTTAAATGAATCTAACGAAAGCTCACGCAGTTCAAGTTTTGTGAGCAGCTTGAATTCTCTTTCAAGCTTAAGTTTAGATTTACAACTATTTGATGTTTCATCATCGTTATCAGCAAGTGGTGCTTCGCCCTGTTGTAAGATATCATGGAAGATTTCCCCATCCATTCAAAAAACTTCCATTACCACATTTACACAAGTTGTAGAAGAATCTCAAAGTTTTTTCAATTATCCTGAACTTACAATAAACTTCGAAAATAAATCAAAGGATTTTCAAGACAGGGAAGAAAGTTCGTTCAACACCTTAATGAAACCTTGGAAACATCTTCTTAATCATGACTATTGTAAACCATGCATCGGAAAAGTTAATTTGAATTCACAGTCGAATTTACAATCAACAAACGATATAGATTCAATGGACACTGCCGATGATGAAATCAATTTTTTTCCACCATACTCTTCTACACCGAACTCGTCATTTTTCAATGACTTCTCATATTCTGACTACCACAGTTTTCCAGAAAAAGAACAAATGCAACAACGACCATATAAACGCAAGCGTCAGATGGATTCTGTTTTATTTCATAGCAATAAAGAAAATCAGCCAAACAAAAAGGTTCGTCGAAAGCTTTACAGCAAGAAATCAGAATCAAAATTAGCGGTAAGTTGAAAGAAATCATTTGTAATTAATTTAAATTTAATCGAGATTATAAATTAGTACTGTGAGTATTGCAAGAGACGAGGTGAGCCATCAATAATCTATAAGCATCACACTTTGAAAGATGCTAAGGGACGAACATTGTGCCCAACATTGCGTCAAATTGAATGTCCAATTTGTAAATCCGATGGAGATAAAGGACATGAAAAGGAGAATTGCCCTCAAAAGTATCTTGAAAATCATAGCGAGGCCGAGCTGCGCTGTATTCAACGTCGACTCAGTTGTATTAAGATTTGAATCATTTTCCATATTATAATTTGTTGTCATGTCAATCAGAAAAGTTTATTTAAATTTCACAAGAATTTTTAAATAATTTGACACTTCGAAGTTGTGACATTCATCGTAAAATCGTTTAAATAACATTTAATTAAAGTTGATTAAAAGTTGAAATTTTCCTTTATCTTGAAGCTTTACCAGCGAAAGCATTCATTTGATTAAATTAAGGGGAATTTCTATTATTAATGAAAGAATTGATTCAATTAAGAATTTCTTAGAATTCTTTTCGAGTTAATTAATGAAAAGAAAATATTTTATAATATTTTGTACTTAAAAACCTTTGGGAGTTGAACTTCAACTTCTTATTGAACTTATTCATAGCGTAAAGCTTTTCTGATTGATGATGACGTGAATTCTGTTGAAAATATGCTACAAACTTGAAGATTATTATAAACTATTAAATTTGTTGATGACGCAATTTTTTTGAATAAAAGTTTCGATAATTTTTGTGACTAAACTGTTGACATTATTTACTTTAAATTGCATTTCGATTCCTTTATTGTTACAATCAATGACAACGCAAGCTTAAAATATTAAATGTTTAAAAACCTTCAACTTGAACGGTAAGTGAGCTTCAGACACTTCAGTGAATTATTCAAGTTGAGTCAGGAGCTCGGGCAGATGAAAAAAAGTTGGAAAGAAAATTTTTGTCCATAAATTGGAGTCAATGTTGAATAATTTAAGAATTTTAAAATGAGTTCAAATGTATTTGAGATTAACCAGCGATGAGATTGAGGAACTTTTTATATTTATCAGCATTTCTTTGCTCTCAAATCGTCTAATTATTGAAATTTTTTAAATAAAACTTATTGAGCCATTGCGAACCCACAAAAACGTTTGTGTACTTGATTAATTTATTTCTTGACCTAAAATGATGTTCTTGAAAGCAAACCGAATAAAGCTAAAAATTTTCTTAGGGTTTTCCCCAAGCAAACATCAAAGAAACTATCAAAGCTATAACGAGGTCATTGAACTTGATTTGCAATGTTTTTCGTATGAATCAACAGGCGGAAAAGATTTTAGGAATTTCCTGACCTTGCATCGCTACAGAGAAACGAAAAGATCGTCGAGCTCAACATGAATTTATTTCTTCTCACTGCATCACAAATTCCATTTAATATTTCTCTCTGATTCTGTTCGTTTATTCTCAAGACCTTCGAGATATTTAAATAATTTGTTTTCAAAAGGCTTTGCATATATAAAATCATTCATTGCACATCGATAGCAAGTTATTCAATTCAAATCAATCCACGTGATTACATCGAAAAAAAATTAAATTAAAATGAAAGCGTTGCAGATTTTTGTGATATTTGTGTTAATTATTGCAGTTCATTCGCAATTTGATGGAAGTTTTTGGTGGATGAATAAAAATCTTATGAAAGAAGCTTCACAATCACGAAGCATGAAAGAGCAAAGTGCAAGAATCCGAACATTACCACCACGTTATCGGAATGAAAATGATGAAACGACATCGAGTAAATCAATTTTCACAGATGATAATGATGATGGAAACTTTTATAAATATGATAACGAACCAGATTGTGTTTGCACTCCAAAGTATTTGTGCAATGAGAATAATACAATTATAACTGATGGAGCTGGAATTATTAATGAAAGGTGCGTCATTAGTGTTTAATTAAATTAAATTAATTCAAGTTCTTCTAATTGAAAAGTTCTACTTAGTCACACTCCCCTCTCAACATGAAAATTTCCTCAATCAAACATAAACTAATCACTGATAGTTTTCTATCGAATTTATTATAATTAAATATCTCTCCATCCAACATTTTCATCATGAATTGCAACTTGAAGAACTTCGTAATGTTTCTCTTAAATAAATAATAACAATTATTTGAAGAAATTCAGTTCCGGTTTGACATCTCTTGAGTGATTTTGTCGTTGCACAAACAACACAAAAGTAATCACAATTTTGTGTAAATTATTTGTTTCTGTCGCACTCTGATCGTGTTTAGAGGAATTGTTCAAGACTTGTTGCAGAAAGTTCCATTAATCTCCATGCAGATCGTGGATTTAAATCAGTTGGATCACGACACAACACCCACACGTAACTAACACGCATCACTTTCTCGGGATCCCCTTCAACGACGTTTCCTTTACTGTCACGTACACACATAATTTGTTGTGCTTGAAATGTTATTATTAGTACTGGTCCTTGTTCCATAACTTTTCCCATGGCAAGGTCTACGTTCTCAATATCGAGAACTTTTGAATCGAGATAATATCCGAGCTTCTTCGCAGCTTGTATTGGCGTTGCTATGATGTTGTAAGTGCTTTCAAAACACCAATCTTTAAGAATATCCAAGTTTCCTCTCACCTTTGCTTCGAGAATATTCGGGATGATGTCATTTTCACATTCCCTTAAAAATCTTTTCTCGTTAAAGTTTGGATCGATTTTACAAATTTCTGTGAGTGTTTCTGAAAGTTCAGTTTTAGAGAACATTCCACCCATTATGTCACTGACTTTATCAGTGAGTAGACGTGATGCTCTTATCACTGGATTTTCTGACTCGTCGTATTGCATTTTCCAAGTGAGAACTTTATTGACATATTGATTGTTGTTCTTAAAATTCTCCCATGATTGATAGAATTTGGAATCTTTATGAAGCTCAATCCCGGTATCGTCAGTGTTAGCTTCGAATGTACGATCATCATTAAGGTCTGAGAATTCAACACGTTTCCGAAGTTTTTTAGGAGCACGATAAACTCTCGCATTGATACTTTGATTATCAATTTCTTCTCGAACTACTGCAGTTGCTTGTGAGATGCTTTGGAACGCTTGACTCTTCCCTAGCTCGGCTGTTTTTTCGCTGATTGTATCTGTGACGCCTTTTGCTGATTTTGAAAAATCTTCACCAATTTTTGATGCTTTCTTGGCGAGATCTGTTTTACCAACTTCTTCAATCACATCTTCAAATTTATCTTTCACTGATCCAAATTTTTCCTTTAATACTTCTGAGCCTTTCGACGCCTCCGATTCCACTGAATAAAACTTTTGTCGAGCATTTTTTAAAGCTTCTGATTGTTCAAGTTTCTCAGCTTCTTCACGGAATTTCTTAAGATTCTCTTTCATTTCCTTATTCTTATCATATTCTTGTTTGATATTTTCAATGAAGGAAGAGAAGAATCCAGGCCGTCGACCACTCGAATAGCACTATAAATAATCAGACATTATAACTTTATTCTTTATTTCATTTGTGAAAATCTTACCATGCAACTTTCAAGCGCATAATTATTATTACGATGAAACAAAAAGTTTTGTGATAACAAATTTGAGTTTCGATTGTAAGTAGGCAGAAGAGTTTGAAACCTTTGTCTAGCACTTATTCTTATTAGCCGGTCCTATAAGTAAAGAGATTGATTATAATTGGAGTGACACAGAAGATGATTCTTTTAATTGCATCATATTGTAATGAAAACAAATAACCTTCAATAAATTTTAAATCAACATAAATTATGCATTTAGACGTCAAATTGAGATGACATCATTTAAATGTGATTATTTTAAACCCAAACTAACCATTTTTATGAAGAACTATTAATTTATATAACTAATTAAGATATTTCTAAACTAAAATTGTTTAAGAATTAGTAGCTCGATATTTTATAACTAAGTCAAGACACTCTACTCATTATCAAAGACACAAAATTCTATGTTTTAAATAATATCCCGTCGTTAT